TTCGAGGCCAGCCTGGGCTACCAAGTGAGTTCCAGGAAAGGCACAAAGCTACACAGAGAAACCCTGTCTCGAAAAACCAAAAACAAAAAAACTCAATTTCTGAAGTAGACATGTTGAGGAGGCTTTTTGCCTTTTAGAGAGGAGTCTGCCTCCCAAGGAGCCTTGAAAGCTGAAACAGGCTCTTCAGGGAGACGGCAGAGGCAAAGTCCAGCCTGCAGAAACAGCACCCCACCTCTTTGCAGGCAACTGCCCTGGCCCTCTCTAGGGCTGGGTCTCTGCTGCCAACTCAACCTCGGCGAAGCAGAGCAGGATGGTGCACACACACCTAAGGGCTGGAACTCTAGAATGGGGAGTCTGTCCTCCCAACTTGGAGTAAAATTTGCACAGCTAAAAAAAAAAAATCCTAGATCAAGACCAAAGAAAATCCCATATTACTCTGGGACAGCATCTTCTGCCATATGCCACCAGAGGCCAAGGTTCCCAGGACAAGCGCCATCAAATGGGGCCATTAGGTCACCAACCCTGAAGGTGGAGGAAGAGATGACATCCTCATCCGCCAGCCCCGCCTGCTCATCATCATGCACATCAGGGTGAGGACCTCAAGGATTGCCCTGAAGCCAGCCCTCAGGAGACTTCAGGGTTTCACAAGCCCTCTCACAGCAAGATCCTTTGGTCCTTGTGACCTCACCCTGTCATCTCCAGAGCTGGATTCTACCCTGCTGTGTGACCCCAGGCAAAGCCCACGCCTGGCTGAGCCTTCAGGAGTGCCTCAAAGGGAGACGCAGACACCAGCCTGTGTCCGTCAGCACTGCCTTCTGGACCTCTGCAGAGTGTGACTTCAGGCCAGGCCACAAACACGCGGCGGCGGCACCCTTGCTCTTTGATCACCTACTTGACTGTGAGGACACCCACACAAGAGGACCTGCCAACCTCCAGCACCGCCTCCCTGGCACACGAACCATCCGGAAAGGATCTGAGGCGCTCCACAACCCGCAGAGGCCGCGCCCCCTTCTGGACCCGCAGAGGCCACATGATACAACAACAGTTCCATTTTCAAGTTGCTGTGCTGGGGGAGTTTGTCACACAGCAGGAGGTGACTGCTACAACTCCCCCGCTTTGAGAGAGGGAGGGAACGTGTCCACTTAGGATGTGTGCTGGGTGCATGTCTAGTAAAGGCCAGTTTATGACAAACCCCATGGGTCATCTCCACCTAAAGGCGAGCCTTCCTGTCCACTAAAGAGACCCCAAGGTAACCCAGCACCAGGAGTGGTTAAACACGTACGAGCCAAATGCCCAGACAGGCCTTATGAAATCAAGAACGCATACTTCCATCCACCCCCCCACAGGTGAGAAAACACTCAGACCTGCCCAGAATCACTGAACCGCGTGGCTTCATACTCTTTTGGCTTCTACGCCAAGACTTAAGGCATCCTGAGAATGAGCAGAAACCTCTGTAAGGCAGGACAACACAGGCTTCACGGTCTTCTTCCCATCCAAAGAGAACACGGATCTGTAAGCCTGCTGTTCCAAGGTCATGCTCAGAATGCTAAGGGTGTCCGGTTCTTGGGTTCTGCGATCCTAGTGCCATGTTTCCTCAACACTAAGGTCCTCGGTTGTTTTGTGTTTAGAGATTTGGAGCAACAAAAAGACTCACAACATTTCAAGTTCTCAAAGACTGGCTACATGTCTACCCTCAGGCCCGCCAGAGTCCCCAGCCCAGGCTGACTTCCCTGGCTCCGGCTCACGCGTGGCCTTTAACCAACCCCTCCTACTGAAATGTACCCACTGAGTGTCAGTTCACCGGGTGGTGCTGGGTAGGGTGAGAAGATGGACTCCAGGGCCGGTGCACATGCAGGTGGGGGCAGGCAGGGTCGGGCAGGGCAAGGAGGAAGGCTCAGAGACAGTGGTTACCTGCAGCAGAAGCCGCTTGGGTTTCGGGCCTCTCTTCCTATACCCTGACGCTCGGTCTCTCTCCTCCCTGGGAGTACGAAGAAGAAGGCAGAAGAAAAATAAACACTGGTGACATCTAAGTGAAGCATCACCCCCCCCCACCTCCCATCACGCACCTGGGTTGGGGACATAGGCCATCCCACACCTTCCCCATTGCTCTATGGGGCCATAACAGTGGGGTCAGCATTCAACTTCCAGGGCTTAGCCTTTCCTCTGAAAACATAGAGGTCCTTGCTACACTCCAGGGCCACACAGGGCTCTTCAGCCTATGCTACTGGGGACCCCGTAAGAATGGAGCTCTGATGGGTAATGCCTGGGGGGGGGGCCGTTTTGGGTAATTGTTGCCTTGCTTGCTGACCTTGACCTTGATATCCTCCTATGCTAATTCCCTGCCAGGTTCCACCCTCCTGAATGCTTAAGGGAAGTTCCTTGTCTGTGTATCCTGCATAATGGGCGTTAACAGCTTAGATGCAAGATTGTAAAACATCAGTAGCGAACTCTGCCCTCCAGGGTTCTCCCATTGTGCTGTAAGCCTGTATTTAACCTCCTACCCCCTTCAAGAAATGACATTTGGCATTAAAAAAAAAAGAAAGAAAGAAAGAAAAATAAATTGAAGACAGCGATATTCTAAAATAGAAAGTGGTAATGATGTCATGGGCCTATGAGGACGCTGGACTAAAGTCTATCAAATTGTGCAAACAGGCAAATTGTAATTGTATACTATGAATTATTTGTCAATAAAGATTTTATAAAACATGAAAAAAAAAAAGAATGGAGCTCTGCTGTCCACTCTCACTCAGCAAGAACTCAGCTGGCCTTCAGTGTCTTGGGGAACTAAGTATTATTGCAAGTTCTATGGCAAGGGGAGATCGACCCAGCCATCCTATTTGGGACCTACTGGAATCTGCAGAAAGGGCCCTGCCTCAGCTAATTGGCTGGAGGAGAAGGAGTGCCCTGCAGGGTGCCCTCCTTCCAAAACCTCCCTCAACCTATATGACACAACTTGAGATTCCACATGGCACTGCCAAAGACAAGGGGATACTGCATCCTCTACTCTGTCTCCGTTCCCTCACTCATTCTCCTGCAGCCCACCACAAAGACCCCAGAGACAAGTCAGGTGGGGCCAGGAGTGTGCTCTTTCTCCACTATGGCTGGGTGACCTTAGGCCACCTCCTCATCCGGGCTAGCCATAAACCAGCCTTCCCCAAATGTCGGAAACTGGTCTTCTTGGTGGGAGCTACCACACCCCTACCAGGCAATGATCTGGATTCGAGGAATGGCACCTGGCCTGGATCCTCCCCACTTTCTCTGCCACAATCTAAGACAGTCCACACACCTGGGCATGGTGGCACATGTCTGTAATCCCAGCACTTGGGAGGTAGAGGCAGGAGGATTGCTACAAGTATAAGGCCAGCCAGGTCTATAGAGTGAGTTCCTCTATAGGACTATAGAGTGAGACCCTGTCTCTGAAAAGACTCTCTCAGTGACACGACCCTTAGGACCAGTGCTTCTCAACCTTCCTAACGCTGCAACCCGTTAATGCAGTTCTTCGTGTCATGCTGACCAGCCACCATAAAAATATTTTCATTGCTACTTCATAACTGTAATTTTGTTACTGTTACAAGTCATACTGTAAATATCTGTGTTTTCCTGATGGGCTTAGGTGACCCCTGTAAAAGGGTTGTAAAAAGGTCCCCAAAGGGGTCATGACCCACAGGTTGGGAACCACTGTTTTAGACCAAGATCTCACCAAGAAGCAGAGAGAAAGTGTGGGACAGGAACAGCATCATAATGAGTTACGAGCAATGATGAAGGGCTGGAGCAAGGACTCAATAGTTAAGAGCACTGGCTGCTCTTGTAGAAAACTCAGATTCACCGGGTGGTGGTGGTGGTGGTGGTGGTGGTGGTGGTGGTGGTGGTGGTGGTGCACACCTTTAATCCCACCACTTGGGAGGTAGAGGCAGGAGGATCTCTGTTAGTTCAAGGCCAGCCTGGTCTACGACAAAGTGAGTTTCAGGACAAGCTCCAAAAGCTACACAGAGAAACCCTGTCTCAAAAAACCAAAAACAACAACAACAACAACAAAAAACCAGTTTTGAGAATTAGACACCTTAGCCCACGCCCTAAGTCCACAAAGTAGGAGAAAGAAGGTGGTGGATCAGCCACAAGTCTAGGTGGGCCAGGGCTACAGGGCGTATGGAGACTACCTAAAAACAGGGCGGGGTGGGGGACACTGATGAGATCTCTCAGCTGGCAAACGGCTCACTCCTAAGTCTGACAACCTGAGTGCCCTGGGAGAGAACCAACGCCAGTCACTGTTTAACCTTCACACACACACGTGTGTGTGTGTGTGTGTGTGTGTGTGTGTGTGTGTAAATTACACACGTAAATTAAAACAATAGTTGTGCCACACACACTCCATGGTCCAGGTGGGAGCAGTGAAGCCCATGGGAAGGGTGGGATCATGACTCTCAGGGTGCTGACAGGAGGTCAGAGGTCAAGCTGGAAGCTTTCCTCACATCCCTGGCCTTGCTTGACCTCAGCAGATTTCCCCCTCTGACGGGGAGAGCCAGATGCTCTCATTCCCACATGGGATACATCTGTCAGTGCTTCTGAATGAATCCTCAGCCTGGGACTCAGGAGCCACAGGAGGGCAAAAGCTGCCCGAGAGGGAGACACCAACAGGACACAGGAACAGGTCTGAGGTGCCCACCACCTGTCCCTGACACACACACACACCCTAACCCACCCTGCCCTAACAGACCCTTGCCCAGGGCCAAGCCTTCCTGAGACGTCTTGGAGCCGGCCTCAGGCCAGGCCCAGAACAGGCAGGGCCCTTACTTCTCCTCGTAGGCCATGACAAGGCGGGGGTCCAGGATGTGCTCCTCTGGCTCCCATGTGCTGTACCTGGGGAGAAGAACAAAAGGTCAGCGCTGCCCGGCCACCACCTAGCCACGGGCTGGCCTGTGTGGTATGAGAGCCCTAGCCTAGGCCTT